AAAGAAAGAATTAAAAATTAAATATATAAATTTTTTAATTTTTAATAGAGACAATTTATAATTAATTTTTAAAAGTTTGACCAGATCCCCAGCAGAGTCGCCAAGCTGTCGTAACCGACTTTCGTCCGGGCACGAAATATTTATTTTGGCGGGGAAATTGATGTTAATAAATAATTTTTGAAAATAATTTGAGAGTCGCCATCGGCCTTTTGGGTCAGGTAGGTCGAATACCTAAAAATTATTTTTTTAAAAGAGTTTTAAAGAAAACACTAATAAAAAAATGAACTGATCTGCGTTTTATAACCAAAAATTCATTCTTTTTAATAAAAAGGGATTCGTGGTCGGTTACGTTTAGGGAAGGATTAGCACCCCTACAACGCCCAAAATTGGTACTTTTTAATTATAAATTGTCTCTATTATTTAAATTTAAAAATTCAAAAAATATATTTAATTTTTATTATTTTCAAAATTATATAAAAAATATTTATTTATTTAAAAATATCCAAAAAAGAACTTCTAGGTGCCTTAAGACAGCTCTTTTCTTTGATATTGATAAATAATATTATTTAATTTTTAATTTTAAAATATCAGAATAGGACATCCAGTTGTATTAAGACTGTCCTTTTCTTCTTTTTATTAAGATAAATATTTAAAAATTATTATTTATTATATATATATTTATGAATATATAAAAATATTTATTCATAAAAATAAAAATACTATTAAAACAATATATTTAAAAAACAATAAAATAAAAGAAAACATATAAATAAATGACTAAATTACAGTAAAAATAAAATTAAAAGTCTAATTCATAATTAATCAAAATTATGGGATCAAATATGTTATTTTCTGATTTAATGATTTAGTGACTAAAATAAAATTATCTAAAATTCGAATTTATAATAAAATAAATTAAAATATAAACTAGGGATTAAAAAATTATTTATGGAAATTAATGGATCAAATCTGTAATTTATCCTAAATATATTATTTTAATATGAAGGACTAAAATAAATTAAATTAAAATTCGAAGACCAAATTAAGAATATTATAAATTTAATTTAGTGACCAAAATGTAAAATTTACAAATATGAAGGACTGCAGACGGGGTTTAACTATTTCATAATTACGCGAATAGCCCTTCCCAAAACGGCGTCGTTCGGGAAGGGCTATTTAAGCCCAAAATCAGCTGGCCCGAAGGGCCAGCTTCATTTCTCCTCTCTTCCCTCTCTCTCTCTTTTCTGAGAGAAAGAAATTCTCTCGCTTCTCTCTAGAAAAGAGAGAAGCTCTCCGGCCGGCCGCCGTTAGCCGGCGTTCATCCGCCGTTAACCACCGCCGCCGGCCACCGTCTTTGGTGGCCGGAAAAATTTTTTTTTTTACCTTAAATGTAGATCGGACCGTCCTAATGACGGTTCCGATGTTTTTTTTCGTTAAACGGCTCTCAATCGGAGCAGATCTAAACTAATACCTTCGGTTTTTGTTGGTTCCGACGAGATCCAGTGGTCAAGGCTTCCTCGGTACGTCTCTTCTTCTTTTTCCCCTTTTTTTTCTTCTTGCTGCTGAGATCGTTGGTAATAGTTTATATTTGCTCTGTTTTTTTTTCTATGTCTCTTTCTCTTCTTTTTTTTTTTCTGTCTCGTTCTCTCTCTGTCTCCGTTTTTTGTCTCGCAGGTGGGTGGTGGCTTTTATAGCCACCACCGGTGCGGTCATCGGACCGGTCCGAAGAGAGGGCTTCGGTGAGTCATCGGACTACCAGTGGTGACTCACCCCGTAGCCTTGGCGTGGACGGCCAGCGTTGATCTTCTGGAGCCTTTATTCGGGACGTGGCAGCGGCGGAGGCGTCGGCAGTGGGCCATTGGACCACTTGGCAGTGAGGCGGCGGCTGAGATTCTGGAAGCATCAGAGGCGGCTGGGTGTGGCTAGGGTTTAGAAACCCTAGCTGAAACCTTACTAATTGTTTAGGGTTTCTGGTTGTCTGGACCGGTTCCGGTTGGTTTGTAACTGGGCCGGTCCAGTTGTAATTATTTATTAAATAATAATAATAATAATATAAATATAATAATAATAAATACTAATAATAATAATAATAATAATAATGCTAATAATAATAATAATACTAATAATAATAATAATAATAATAATAATAATAATAATGATAATAATAATAATAATACTAATAATAATAATAATAATAATAATAATATTAATAATGATAATAATAATATTAATAATAATAATAATAAAATGGATAAAAAAATAGTATCTTCAATTGTAAATTAACACCAGCGCATAAAGCAGCGAGAAGTATACGAGAAAAAATCTTCGTTCTAACACACCTCTCCACTTAGGCATAGTGTATAGGATTGCAAGTAACACAACGTAAAGTGACTTTTGCCCACAATTATACCACAGAATCTAAACTCACTCGAGCATTTCTCAGCCATTAAGCGTTGAGATTTTCTATCCCGAAAGGTCCCAAGGAAACATCACTTGGAGTTACCTCCAAAAAAATGTTAAGGTCTCTTCACCACAACTATTAAAATGCATATCATGAAACAAACACCTCCGTATTTGATTTAGAGAACCTCAACATGGAGAAACAGGTCACTGCGTCTAGATATAAGAGAGGTGCCTCAATTTAGTCATAGCATCGAGGTTTCTTTGCAAAGTAACATAGTGGAGAGATCTTCTGCTTATCAAGTATCCAAATACCCCCAACTATATCTTCTGCTCAAATAACATAATTAACACATCCGTATCTATGTACAGTAAGCCTTAACCTCTGTAACAAAGAATAATAGAGGTGCCTTCGCCTAATTTCGTCGAGGTCTTCAGCAGCACTACCTCCGCCAATATTTATACTGAAACATCAAAACACTTTCAAGTACAGGTCCACCCTAAACACCCAAATTTCGCACTTCAATACACCTCTAAGAAAAATCATTCGCCCACATATAAATAACTCCCTCTATCAAGCGAACAAAAATTCGACTCTACATCCGCTAGAACACCAAAGATATCTCCCCATCAGGCTTAGAGACCATCTGATGCCACTATATCGTCAAAAGATCTTCGAACAAAAACCCCTCAGAATAACTTACTCAAAAATATTTGTGATACCTCTGCACTTTGATTAAGCGTTAAGACAACATCATCGTTCCACCTAAATGATGAAGATCCTCTATGGGGTATATCAGGGCATACAGAGATAACTTCGTCCAATTTTAAAAACTTAATATTAGTATGAAAAACGAAAAGATCCCTCACAATAAAAGCGTCGATACACCTTCGACGAACTGTAGAAACGCCCAGTTACCTTCCTACCTACAAAACCACAAGTTGTATTTGAGGATCAATCGGACCCATCCATGATTGAACTACCTCCCTATCGACCAAGGGTCTTGAGAATCTTCAACCCTACCTTTTGATACATCAACTCTACTTCTACCACTCGTTTTTAATTGAAAGAGTCGAGGCGTCTCCACTACACTCCAAGGCACCAAGGTCCATACATCCTTCCCCTTATTCTCTGCACAAATTATCCTCCTCCAAACCCCCACCAGATCGAACTCATTGAAACTACCATCTCTCCATCAACCAAGATCTTTAGACAGATCTCCCTATCCACCAGAACCCCTGACAAACCTACATCTCTGAATACAAGTTTCAAGTAAACTACAATGTATGTAGACCTTGATAGTCCCACATGACACGCTAGAATGAAATCCAAAGTCTGACTAACAAATCTGCCTAGCTCGTTAGTTTACAAATAGCCATAATGACCATAAAATTGATACACACATTAAAAACCATTATAAATACTCCAACCAAATTAAAAAAAAGGTCATCTTTTTTTTATGGTCACCTCTCTTTCACAGAGAAATACTAATTATCGGTTGCTCCCTCGTTGATTACATTTCTCCGCCCAAATCAGAAGAGATGAACCACCAATGTATTAGGAATCGAAATTATTGCCATAAACAATTATATATCTATTTTTTTGTAATTATTATGAAATGATGTGTTTGTGTTGTTTAAATTAGAAATATTATGTGTTAATATTTTTTTTATATATATAATATAAAAGAGAACAGAATTCAGCTAAACTTGAATGGTCAAATTAAGCTAAAAAAAGTTATCAAAACGAGAAGGCGCTGAAGTTGAATTTGATTAGAATATGTGATATGCGTACATAAAATAAGCATCTATAAATAACAACAGATGTAATCTGTTCCATATTAATAATGTAAGCATTTGAAACATTCCAAAACTTGTACTACAAATTCCAACATTTGGACCATACACTACTCTATATTATAAACACAGAATATAAATGTTTCTTTTTCTATCTACAAATTATTTTATTTTGTCTTTTAAACATTATTCAGTACAAGCTTAAAGACTTACACATAAATATTATTTTTATAAAATAATTTTTAAGCAATTAAAAATTCATTAATAATTGTTATATGGTATTTTTTATATAAAATAAAATTAATTATAAACTAAATAAAAATAATATTTTATTTTATTCAAATAATAAAAAAATTTAATTTATAAATTATATTCGAATTGGTTTTTGACGTTCAACCATAGAAAAAGTAGCCTAATTGATATTAATTAGCCGGAGATCCTTTGAATTAATCTCAGCACCAGATAATTACAAGAAAATTTTATTGCAAATATTAATTAATATTTGTTGAAAATTTGGTTAGGTGAATGGGATGGGTTGGGTTTCAGCAAATAAATAAAACCAAGGAAATCAACTATAAATACACCAAACAAAAACTGAAGTAACAAAAACAGAGTTTCGAACGCGGGTAATATTTGGGAACTAATATTAATAAACTAGATAGTATTAACTTAATGCTTTGTAATGTATGGGGTATAGTCTAACCAATCATTTTGTAGTCTATTTTTTGATTCTTTCGTTGTAGATTGGTGGATTGATTGTAACTAAATCTTGATTTGGATAATAAAATCAGAATTATCCAAAAAAAAAAAAACTGAAGTAACAAAAACAGAGTTTCGAACGCGGTAGCTCTAACTACCACCGCCTGTCTTTCAACGGTATTTTTCCATTTCATTTTCCTCTCATCTTCATGAGATTTTATTTTCCAGATCTGAATTACAAAGGTTTACGCCTTGATTTTGCAGAGAAAAGAACCAAGGAATGGCACGCAAGAAGATCAGAGAGTACGATTCCAAGAGATTGTTGAAGCAGCATTTCAAGAGGCTTTCCGGCAATGATTTACCAATCAAATCTGCACAAGTCACTTCATTTTCTCCTTCTGGATCTCCTTTTTTCCTTCAATGTTTCGCATTTTATTATTTTGTTTGCTGAGCAATTTCAACTGATCTCGATAAATGAATGTTCGGTTTCCTTTATTAGCTGTGGTTTTTTTATCAAAGAATAATAATTTTTTCAGATCAGCAAGTTTTGAATATAATTTGGCGAATGTTCATCTTCCTTTATTTCTTGATTACTAATTGCTACAAATATTGAATTTCAAGTTGTTTCTTTGGTTGTGCTGCTGCTGTGTTTAGGTGACGGAGTCAACTGATTTCAATGAGCTAGCCGAGAAGGAGCCATGGCATTTGTAACCCCCTAGACCCGGCCTATGCGTTTCGACTAAGTCTAGTGGATCACATTATGATTATTAAAGACATTTTTCGCAACCGTTATTCCATCAATATAAAATCACATTATAAATAACATGAAATTATAAACAAATTATACTATCAAAATCCAACTCGTAAATATAGTACAAATAAATAATAATTTAATTTGAAACATGTCTTCAAATTCAAAATCACAATAAACCGAGCAGTATTAGCAAAAGAGTTATCATTATAAAATCTGATATTTTAAAATAAGGTTCATGTCACCAAAATAAAGTCAACTTGCCAGATAAAAACATTACAATCTGATTTACTTCAAGAGATATGTTGATCCTCCAAGTGCTCGAACCAAGGTATCTAACCAACAATATCTGAAAGGGGGAAAACATTTTCAAAAGGTGAGCTAGGCTCAGTGTGTCCCAACATTTCCATAAAATCACAATAAGTACAAATCATAGTCCAGTAATCTCACAAATTCGTAAAAGAGTTTAACTTTTTGAAAATCATAGTTTAAACCCTTTTCTGGTACACCATCAGTAGTTCCCAAAATTATTTTCCATATAGCTTACTTTATGCACATAGCAAAAAGAAAGCCTACTTAAGGATAGGCTCTGAAGCTTGTATCCTTAAGCCCAAGTCAATAAGGCCATATAGCTTACCCTAAGCACACAGCAAAGGAAAGCCGACCTAATGAAACATCTTGGGGCCCTCAAGAGTCACATTAGGCCCAGTTAGCTTGATCAGAGCTATTCCATCGTAATTCAATTCCAAAATTCAATTGCACCGTGACATAAATTCCATAAATCCAAAAACATGGTAGTCATATACCATTTCAAAACAAAAATTAGATAGCAGCCATATTCCATAAATTGTCACATTAAATTGGTGCATCCATAAAACAATAACCAATGAATTCGGTGTACCACATATTAAAACCAATAAAATAGTTCAATAATAAGTAGGGAACACACCTCGACAATAGATTCAAATAACAAATCTACTGATTGCTGGTTTCACCACGCTCTGCTACAGTTTTCGAACGGGTGAATACTGGCACACGTGGTTTAACTGATCTAGAAGAGCTGGGTCGAGCTGTCGAACGATCCGAAGAGTCTCTTGTACCTTCAAACAATAATATTTATCAGTCTCAAATCCTATTTAATTGTTCAAAGCTAAACTTCTTAAGTATATACGCATTTTTCAGGTTTGACTATCAATTTGAGGTATTTCGAGTCTGAATTTGGCCAAACGGATTGCGGAATCGGAATCAGGGCGTCGAAAAACATAAAATATGACTTTTCGAAAATTCAAATTCTTGGTCAAAGTCAAAGTCAACCACTTTGACCGTAGATTTGGAGACCTTCGGATTCGAATTTGACAAAACGGACCACGGAAACGGATTCGGCACGTCGAAAACTATCAGGATAGGTATACTCGGAAAAGATTAACGGTCGTTTAATGCTCGGTCAAAGCCATTTTAAGTTTTGGTCAAAGAAAGTTAACGGTCAACGGTCAACGGTCAACGGTCGGGTCGGGTCAACGGTCGGGTCGGGTCGGGTCAACGGTCGGGTCGGGTAAGACCGGTCCAACCGGTTTTCCAGCAGCTCACTCTCCCTGCGGCGGCGCGTGCGGCGCGTGAACAGTGCCACGGTGTCGGAAAATTCCCGAAAAAATTTCTAAAAATTATTTTGAGCGATTCCGAGATACTTACAACGATCGGTTCAAATTTTTGAACGGCGGAGAGCTCGTATTTCAACTCGGCCGAATCTTTGACTGCTCCACCTCCTCACGCGCCGCCGTCGACGGCGAACAAGGTTGACACCGGCGGACTCAAAACGACACAAGGAACACGATGGTGCAGGAGGTGTCGTAAACGGAACAACGATCGGCGGTGAATTTAAGTTTTTCCCAGCGATAGAGCTAAAAAAACGACGATGCTTTGACTGAAAATTCTTGACGTTTGACAGCGTTTCACTTCAATTAATTTGAAGGGTTTGTTCCTCGCTTGATGATGAACACAACGGTGGTTTCAATTTTACGATTGGACGTCGAACGGCGTCGGAATCGGGCTTGGAAGTAAGGGTACGAGAGAAGGAAAATTGAGCAAATTCTCAATTGTGTTTTCTGATTTACAATCAGAAACCACGCTTAAATTATAAACCTGCCGACACTCCTTGGAGGAATTCAGGGCTTGGTCCCTGAATTTCCTTCAACTTATAAAATGGCCTATAACTTTTCATAAATTTTAGTTCAGTCATTAAATTTCACCAATTTTCACAATTAACGTCCAATTTCAATTAAATATTATTTTGTAAATATTCGGGTTGTTACAATTCTCCCCATCTACAAGAAATTTCGTCCTCGAAATTTACCTTATGAGAATAGTTGAGGAAACTGAGCCTCTATTGACTCCAATGTCTCCCAAGTAGCTTCTGAGGGGCCTCGATTACTCCACTGAACTTTGACCATTGGAATTCGCCTATTCCGAAGAACTCTTTCATCTCTTTCTAAAATCTGAATGGGCTCCTCCTCATATGACAAATCCGGTCTCAGCTCTACTTCTTCAACCTGAATAATGTGACCTGGATCTGGACGGTATCGCCTTAACATAGACACATGAAAAACATCATGAATACGACTGAGGTGGGAAGGCAACTCAAGCTGATAAGCAACAGGTCCAACTTTCTTCAGAATACGATACGGCCCAATAAATCGTGGACTCAATTTACCCTTACGCCCGAATCTCAATACTTTCTTCCACGGTGAAACTTTTAAGAAGACCTGATCACCAACCTCAAATCGTATATCTTTCCTTTTCTGATCTGCATAAGACTTATGCCTATCAAATGCCTCTTTCAAACGGTCACGTATCAATCTGACTGTGTCCTCCGTCTCTCGCACTAACTCAGGTCCCAACGTTTTCCTATCACGCAACTCAGTCCAACAGATCGGAGTGCGACATTTACGCCCATAGAGTGCTTCATAGGGTGCCATACGAATGCTGGTCTGATAACTGTTATTGTAAGCAAATTCAGCCAACAGCAAAAAGTTCTCCCAACTACCATGAAAATCGATTACGCAACCCCGCAACATATCCTCCAGAATCTGAATTACTCTCTCAGATTGACCATCAGTTTGTGGATGAAAGGATGTACTATAATCCAATCTTGTTCCCAAAGCCGTATGTAACGCCTTCCAAAATCTCGAAGTAAATCTCGGATCTCGATCAGAAATAATAGACAATGGAACACCATGCAATCTGACAATCTCTGAAATATACAATATTGCCAGCTTATCCAAAGTATAATTTACTCGCACAGGAATGAAGTGAGATGACTTTGTAAGTCTGTCAACAATCACCCAAACTGAATCTTTTTTCGAAGGAGTCATCGGCAAGCCAGTAACAAAATCCATAGTAATACGCTCCCATTTCCATTCAGGAATCTTGATAGGCTGTAACAAACCTGATGGATGTTGATGTTCTGCCTTAACTTGCTGACAAGTCAAACACCTAGCCACAAAGTCAGATATGTCTTTCTTCATACCAATCCAATAATACCTCTCTCTCAAATTCCGGTACATCTTATCTCCTCCGGGGTGCATAGCATATGGACTACTATGAGCCTCAGTAAGGATAGTCTGCCTCAACTCAGGATCATCAGGCACACAATATCTACCTTTAAAGCATAAAACTTCATCCTGATCAATTGCGTAATCTGTGTTTGTCCCCTGCTCTACTTGCTCAAAGATGGAAAGCAAGGAGCTATCAAGGGGCTGCTTAGCTTTGATCTCATCAACCAAGGTCGGCTTAACTTGCAATTCTGCTAACAAAGTGCCATCGTCATATAAATTCATCTTGGCCATTAAAGACCTCAACTCTGATACCGTCTTTCGACTCAAAGCATCTGCTACAATGTTAGCTTTACCAGGGTGGTAATCAATCACGCAATCATAATCCTTTAGGAGCTCTAACCAGCGACGTTGTCTCAAATTAAGTTCCTTCTGGGTCAGAAGATACTTTAAGCTCTTATGATCTGTGAAAATGTAACACTTCTCTCCATAAAGATAGTGTCTCCAAATCTTCAAGGCAAAAATTACTGATGCCAACTCTAAATCATGAGTAGGATAGTTACTCTCATGCGGCCGCAGCTGACGGGATGCATAAGCCACCACCTTACTTTCCTGCATTAAAACACAACCAAGTCCTGAATGTGAAGCATCACTATACACTGTAAAATCCTTCCCGGACTCTGGTTGAATCAACACCGGTGCTTGAGTCAAAACCGCCTTTAATTTCTCAAAGCTCTCCTGTTGTGCCTCGCCCCAGTTAAACAGCACATTCTTCCTTAACAACTTTGTCAAAGGAGAAGCAATGATCGAGAAGCCCTCAACAAAACGTCGATAATAACCAGCCAAGCCCAAGAAACTGCGGATTTCAGATACGTTCTTAGGTCGTTTCCAATTCATAATAGCCTCTATCTTTCTGGGATCAACCTGAACACCTCGCGCAGAAATAATATGCCCCAGAAATGACACTTCTTGAAGCCAAAACTCACACTTGCTTAGTTTGGCATATAGACGATGCTCTCTCAAAGTCCGCAGAACGATCTTCAATTGCTCGTCATGCTCTGCCTCAGTACGAGAATAGATCAGAATATCGTCAATGAAGACCACCACAAATTGATCCAATATGGTCGGAACACCCGATTCATCAAATCCATAAAAGCTGCAGGAGCGTTCGTCAAACCAAAAGGCATCACTAAAAATTCATAATGACCATATCTAGTGCGAATGGTCGTTTTTGCAACATCAGATCCTTTAACTTTCAATTGATAATACCCCGAACGAAGATCAATCTTAGAGAATACAGTAGCTCCTCGCAATTGATCAAATAAGTCATCAATCCTGGGTAATGGGTATTTATTCTTGACCGTCATCTTGTTCAATTTCCGATAGTCAATACATAATCTTAGCGACCCATCATTCTTTTTCACGAATAGAACTGGAGCTCCCCATGGTGAAGTACTATGTCGAATAAATCCTTGATCGAATAATTCTTGCAATTGGACTTTCAACTCCTTAAGTTCCTTTGGAGCCATACGATAAGGTGCCATAGAAATAGGTGAAGATCCTGGATAAGTCTCAATCTCGAACTCTACCTCTCTATCAGGAGGTAACCCAGGCAACTCCTCCGGAAAAACATCAGGAAACTCACTAACTGTACGAATCTCCTCGATCGTGGACAATGCACATTTGGTGTTCAAAATACAAGCAATGAAGGTCTCATATCCCTTCCGGATCATATGATCAATTTCCATCGCTGAAACTATATTGGAGAGATAACCACGCCGTTCACCAATTAACACAACAGTCCGACCATCTGAAGTCTTCAGAGTAGCCCGCTTGTATTCGCAATCCAGCTTTACCTTGTGTTTATTCAACCAATCCATTCCAAGAATTAGATCGAACTCCCCTAAAGGAAGTTCCATAAGATCAGCGAGAAAAATTTCTCCCTGAACCTCGAGAGGACAACGCCGAAATACTTTATTCATTAATACCGCTTGTCCTACTGAACTTGTAACTATAACAGTATTTTCAGTGTTCTCGATCGGAATCTGAAGGTTTCGAGATACTGAGCTCGATACATAGGAGTGAGTGGAGCCATTGTCCAATAATGCAAAGTATGGGGTAGAATAAATAGTAAATGTACCTGCAATAACCTCAGGCTCATCTCTGTCATCACGACGTCTAGTTGCATAAACTAAAGCTGGCTGTCTAGCCTCAGAAGCTGTTGGCCCTCTATTTTGCTGAGGTCGGGCTCTACTGTCTGTCCTGGATGCTGATCCTCGAGTCTTTCCTTGACTACGATCTCTAATTGGGGTCTGTACTATAGTCTGCGAACGCACAGGAGTTTGGGTAGTGGTCTGCTCAAACGAAACTAACTGAGGACAATCCCTCTGATAATGACCACTAGATCCACACTGATAGCAAAGACCCATCTTCTTACGACACTCTCCTGAGTGTTGTTTACCACAATACTCACAAAGGGGCCCATTATAATACGATGAGGAACCGCCTCGACTGACAGCTAAAGGTGAGGATGCTGTAGGCCTGAAACGTGTATTGTTTCTCTGAGGGGCTGAAGTACGAGTCCTCTTCCCGGACTGTGCTGATGACTCCATCGGGCCTGAAAATTTCTTAGATCGATCTTGATCAACACGCTCTCTACCAGAAGCTAAAACCTCCACCTCTTCCGCATCTTTGGCTCTGCCCACCAGCACATCAAATATCTCATCCTGATGGGTTACAACTTGCCTACGCAGCTCGTATCTGAGTCCAAGGGCAAATTTACGACATCGATCTCTCTCCATAGGTACCATACTGAATCCATACTTCAGCAACTTCAGGAACTCGATCTCATATTCAGAAACAGTCATGTCTCCCTGAACCAGGTCTTGAAACTGTTGTCGTCTCTGAGCTAAGTAGCGCTCTCCCAGAAAACGGCTCCGAAAGCGATCCTTAAAGAAATTCCAGGTCAAACGATCGGTAGGAACACTACTGGTCACTGACTCCCACCAAGTGTAGGCATTGCCATCTAACATCGCCACAGCACCCTGATATCTCTTAGTTGAGTCCAAACCCAACTGATCCATGCGTCTCTCTGTATCCTGGAGCCAATCCTCAGCTTCAGTAGGAGCTCCACCTATCTGTCCCCCAAAAGTTCTAACTCCATTGGCAATCAAAGTCTGCGAAATAGGAACCTCAGATACAACACCAGTAGCTCTGACTGCTCCCTGTATTAACTGCAGAAATTGTCTACCAAAATTCTCATCCAAAGCAACTCCGGTATACTCTGATTCAATATCGGTCGCTCCTATTATCAGTGTAGTCATGCCAATACCAGCGGCAGGAGGCAGATCCGTTGGGGTCGTAGGAGCATGATCACCTATCGGAGGTGGGGGATCTACCCGTATCTCATCGATCGGATCTGCGAATCTAGCCACTCGACCTCGTCCACGGCTAGTTCGACGACTACGTCTAGCACTCATTTTGATAGATCTCAAGTTTACTACAGAAGATAAAACTTAGAGTTAGATAAGCACTTGGAGTCTCAAACATAGTTAAAATCTTAATAACTTTGTGACATGGCCTTAGTAACTCGTTTTGTAAAATATTTCAAAACCGTATTTTCAATGTGGACTCATACACAGTCCGAGGGTTAAAGACCAAAAGCTCTGATACCAATAAATGTAACCCCCTAGACCCGGCCTATGCGTTTCGACTAAGTCTAGTGGATCACATTATGATTATTAAAGACATTTTTCGCAACCGTTATTCCATCAATATAAAATCACATTATAAATAACATGAAATTATAAACAAATTATACTATCAAAATCCAACTCGTAAATATAGTACAAATAAATAATAATTTAATTTGAAACATGTCTTCAAATTCAAAATCACAATAAACCAAGCAGTATTAGCAAAAGAGTTATCATTATAAAATCCGATATTTTAAAATAAGGTCCATGTCACCAAAATAAAGTCAACTTGCCAGATAAAAACATTACAATCTGATTTACTTCAAGAGATATGTTGATCCTCCAAGTGCTCGAACCAAGGTATCTAACCAACAGTATCTGAAAGGGGGAAAACATTTTCAAAAGGTGAGCTAGGCTCAGTGTGTCCCAACATTTCCATAAAATCACAATAAGTACAAATCATAGTCCAGTAATCTCACAAATTCGTAAAAGAGTTTAACTTTTTGAAAATCATAGTTTAAACCCTTTTCTGGTACACCATTAGTAGTTCCCAAAATTATTTTCCATATAGCTTACTTTATGCACATAGCAAAAAGAAAGCCGACTTAAGGATAGGCTCTGAAGCTTGTATCCTTAAGCCCAAGTCAATAAGGCCATATAGCTTACCCTAAGCACACAACAAAGGAAAGCCGACCTAATGAAACATCTTGGGGCCCTCAAGAGTCACATTAGGCCCAGTTAGCTTGATCAGAGCTATTCCATCGTAATTCAATTCCAAAATTCAATTGCACCGTGACATAAATTCCATAAATCCAAAAACATGGTAGTCATATACCATTTCAAAACAAAAATTAGATAGCAGCCATATTCCATAAATTGTCACATTAAATTGGTGCATCCATAAAACAATAACCAATGAATTCGGTGTACCACATATTAAAACCAATAAAATAGTTCAATAATAAGTAGGGAACACACCTCGACAATAGATTCAAATAACAAATCTACTGATTGCTGGTTTCACCACGCTCTGCTACAGTTTTCGAACGGGTGAATACTGGCACACGTGGTTTAACTGATCTAGAAGAGCTGGGTCGAGCTGTCGAACGATCCGGAGAGTCTCTTGTACCTTCAAACAATAATATTTATCAGTCTCAAATCCTATTTAATTGTTCAAAGCTAAACTTCTTAAGTATATACGCATTTTTCAGGTTTAACTATCAATTTGAGGTATTTCGAGTCTGAATTTGGCCAAACGGATTGCGGAATCGGAATTAGGGCGTCGAAAAACATAAAGTATGACTTTTCGAAAATTCAAATTCTTGGTCAAAGTCAAAGTCAACCACTTTGACCGTAGATTTGGAGACCTTTGGATTCGAATTTGACAAAACGGACCACGGAAACGGATTCGGCACGTCGAAAACTATCAGGATAGGTATACTCGGAAAAGATTAACGGTCGTTTAATGCTCGGTCAAAGCCATTTTAAGTTTTGGTCAAAGAAAGTCAACGGTCAATGGTCAACGGTCGGGTCGGGTCAACGGTCGGGTCGGGTCAACGGTCGGGTCGGGTCAAACCGGTCAAACCGGTTTTCCAGCAGCTCACTCTCCCTGCGGCGGCGCGTGCGGCGCGTGAACAGTGCCACGGTGTCGGAAAATTCCCAAAAAAATTTCTAAAAATTATTTTGAGCGATTCCGAGATACTTACAACGATCGGTTCAAATTTTTGAACGGCGGAGAGCTCGTATTTCAACTCGGCCGAATCTTTGACTGCTCCACCTCCTCACGCGCCGCCGTCGACGGCGAACAAGGTTGACACCGGCGGACTCAAAACGACACAAGGAACACGATGCTGCAGGAGGTGTCGTAAACGGAACAACGATCGGCGGTGAATTTAAGTTTTTTCCGGTGATAGAGCTAAAAAAACGACGATGCTTTGACTGAAAATTCCCGACGTTTGACAGCGTTTTACTTCAATTAATTTGAAGGGTTTGTTCCTCGCTTGATGATGAACACAACGGTGGTTTCAATTTTACGATTGGACGTCGAACGGCGTCGGAATCGGGCTTGGAAGTAAGGGTACGAGAGAAGGAAAATTGAGCAAATTCTCAATTGTGTTTTCTGATTTACAATCAGAAACCACGCTTAAATTATAAACCTGCCGACACTCCTTGGAGGAATTCAAGGCTTGGTCCCTGAATTTCCTTCAACTTATAAAATGGCCTATAACTTTTCATAAATTTTAGTTCAGTCATTAAATTTCACCAATTTTCACAATTAACGTCCAATTTCAATTAAATATTATTTTGTAAATATTCGGGTTGTTACAGCATTTGCCACAGAAGGTTGTTAAACCTGATATGTTGTTTGGAAAGCGTGGGAAGGGTGGATTGGTTAGCTTAAATCTTGATTTTGCTAAAGTTATTGCTTTTGTCAAAGAGCGCCTTGGCAAAGAGGTTACTACCTTTATTTTGACATTATTCGTAAGGTTTAGGGTTAGACTTTGTATTAATCTCCTGAACACTTGCAGGTGGAAATGGGTGGATGTAAAGGACCTGTCACAACATTCATTGTTGAACCTTTCATTCCTCACAATGAAGAGTTCTATCTTAACATTGTGTCGGAGCGACTCGGTAACAACATTAGCTTGTCGGACTGTGGAGGAATTGAGATTGAAGTGATACCTTAATACAGTTGAAGACCGCATTTGTCCCAACCACTTGTTGCAACCCTTCCCTTGGAGGTAATTTTCTCAAATACATAATGATTTTGTGAATTGTTTCTTCGTCTTGATTGTACACTAGTATTTTAAGGTCATTTCTTTCCTGTGTCGAATTTTCCATTTCATAACTTGAGCACATTCCTTCCTTGTCTAACATAAACTTTAGCTGGATTTACCTATTACCAAATACATCATCAAAAATATATATATATATATATACACACACACTTATTTTCGTCCAATCTTTTTTATTTATATATATATATATATATATATATATATATATATATATACATGTTATATATTATAGATTATATTATATAGTATATATATATATTAGTATTATATTATATAGTATTGTCAGACCCTAATATAGGGGCTAGTTTTTATTAATTTAAAGTGTCGAATTAAAGTCGTAACAAGGGAGAAATTGAGGACCAAATCTTAAATTTTTAAAAGTTGCAGCTTGGTTTTGGAACTTGTGGGAAGTTTAGTGACTTAACAATGAATTAGACCATTTTTTATGGTCAGAGAAAAATAAATCCCTCCCCTTTGTGATACCCGAAAATTCCCCAAAATCCCAACCCTAAATTATTTTACCCCAACTGCCGCTCCCCACCGCGATTTGATCGGGTCCGACAACCTTTGTCACCCTTCGACGCCACCAGCGTGACTGGCGTCCTTCGGCGACCAATCCCCAACATTCAACGACCCCGATTGATCTTCGAACGTCGTTAATCGAAGGGAGGAAATTATTTCGTCGTCACCGCTTCTCTCCCCGATTTCGGTCGGTGAGCCTCACCTCCATAGTCGTTGGACTCCCCATCCAATCCCGAACAAAACCCAGCCAATAGTATCACCTCATCGTCGTTCTATCACCGACGACCGTGTGTAAGCTTCAGGTTTATAGTTTGGTTATTTTTCTTCCGATTTTGGCATGTTTTTTTTATTAAATTTTGATTGTATTTGGTGAGTACTTGAACATGGAGTAATTGGCCGCCAGAACTGTCCTCGTTGCCGCGGTCACGCGCCGTCGTGTGCGCGTGGGGATCGTTCTCCCGTTATGGTTTCTTCTAAAACTAGTCCATTCGGTTTGGACCGATCTGAATCGGCTCAACCCGAGCCGAACTGAGTCTGTTCAACCCGAACCGAGTCAACCCAAACCAACCTGTTGGCTTTGACCTGACCCGTTGACCCTTGACAAGTGTGACTGTTCACTTTGACTTGTCTAACCGTTGACCGTTGACTTTGACAAAAAACTCAAATTTTCTGAAAACTCAAATTTTCTGAAAACTCATATATTATGTTTTTCGACGTCCTGAGTCCGAATCCGAAGTTCGTTTTGCCAAATTCGCACTCTATAACTCATTTTTCAATGTTTTACCTTTGGATTCAATTTGGTTTCTCAATTAAGTTCAATTTCTAATGTAAATTCAATTGTTATGTATCCGAGTAATTAATGGACATTGAATTCAAGTTCGAGAGTGAGCAAATGGAGATTTAATGTTCGATCGGTGAAGCAAAAAAATCGATGTAATACTCTACTACCTTTTTTATGTTTTCTGTAACACATTGATAATTTGTAAATGCATAAATGGAAATACTTGATCCATGAAGTGTATTTAATTATCTTTGGACTCAAATTGAATTTGGAATAAATACAGAACATTGTATAAGACTCATAAAGCTCCTAAAGGAAATTGGTAGACCGATCGGAAACAAATCTGTTTAGTGATTTAATCAATAAATCAATCAATATCGGGACTCGTAAATTTTGATTAATCTCGTTAAAGGTTAAACGTTGGAAATGCTTGGATAAGAGACAACAAAAATACCGGTATGATATAATAGATAAGAATTTTCCCGGAAAGTGAAAATAATCATGTTAATCAATCATGATCTTTGAAATGGTAAAAGACTTAAAATTTCTAATTCCTAAGAGAACACTCGGAGGCTAAATTACCGAAAGTATCTTACATGCCTGAATTGATCGAAATGACAAAGTTGAACTGAATGGAAGTGATGTATGTAGTTGAATTGTTAAAATGATAGAGTTACTCTGGAAACTCCGAAGTGACCGGGATAAACTTGAATACTAACTTATTTAAATACCACAATGACCTTCAATTAAGCGAATAACTTGGATAAGTCTGGAAACACTGATAATCTTATATGTTGTACCGTCCGTAAAGCTTTTAAACCACGAATCAAGTACGTCAACATTTCCTGATATCGTTGAAACGTAGAAATAAAATAAAAAATCATTAGAATATATGTTCGTCTCCCTAAGATCCATTCAATGATGATTTTGAATATGATCAATTGACAAGAGTTATATGTATTAAAGAGTGAATACCCTTGAAGTGCAACGATTGGATCGGTTGACAGGTATCATTGATGGGATTTGTATTGTTCGAGTTTACTCGATATTCTGATAGATCGACACAAATCGTAAATGCTCTAAATCTTCGTTTCTCCCTTATTAGCTCAAATCACTAAGAATTCTCCAAGAACCTAATGCCTATGATTTCCTGGATAATGGAATTACTCCTTTCATATCTGAAAACACGAGTAACTCTGATGCAAAGGATTCTAAATACCTTTCTGATTACATAGTGTCTCCGAAAAAAAATATCTGAATACTATATGATCCTGATAAATCACGTTTTGAATAACTGATGAATCTGCCATCTATCAAACCCTTTTATAGGGATATCACCTCTGAATTTAATCAGTTTGAAGAAGATTCATGACTTTCTATCTAATAAATACCTATCACCTCTGAATAATATCTGGAACCTCTAGTGTGTTCCCTGAACACATGGATGTTTTCTTTTATTTCAAAAGTATGTCTATGTTATCTGAAATATAGTCTGACCTCTGATTTTTTATCCTGAACTTTGATATTTGTTCTGATCTCTGATTTCTGTTCTGATCTCTGATCCCTCCCCTGATTTTTTATATCTCCATTAATTGGATAAAATTATTTTTATACGGGGTACTCTGGGACTCTGGTATGACTGAAGACTCTGGCAGGTTCAGTTGCTGCTGGTAATTCCTTGTATAGGTTCAGCATCGACTGGTAATTCCTTATGGACCTAATGCAACTATTGGGTGGGATCCTAGGCCTAATGAGTCTAGTGGTAAGATTTTATAGATCCTAAGGCACTCCCTTAGGGTGGCTCATCTGCTGTGTGCATTAGGTAAGTCCTTATGGGCCCGAGGGCACTCCCCTCAGGTGGGCACCTACGCTTCGGCTAGGGTAAGACTTTATGGACCCAAGCTGCTCCTTTAGGTTGGCATCTACGCCTTTTGGGCCTAGAGTAAGTCCTTATCGGTTTTGTTTTTAGATCGATATTTCTACGCTATCTCTTCTTAAGAAGTCTATGAAACTTGAACAAATGAAAGATTCCTAAGAGCTGAAATTGAAATGCTCTTTAAAGGGCCTTGCAGTGCAGTGCCTCAGTTGCGCTATTTTGTTCACATCCTATTTAAAAATCATGAAAATAAAACCAAATCATATTTTCTTCCCATATCACCCATGGATCTTGACACTTGTCAAAAGGGCTATAATATTTTTTTAAACAACTTGTGTAATTCGTTCATTTGATATTCAGTGAACTGTTACTTTGGTTAAATTGATTTGACATCATTTTTATACCAAACCCTTTAAAAAAGGGAGATATATCTCAGACAAGACATAGTTTATCAAAAAATTGGTTGAAGGACCTGAAACGATGTCAGACATCTCCAGGTTTTCAATATCTTCTTCTTCTACCACATGCACCTTCTGACTTGGTTCCTATCAAAATAGAGCTTGGCATTATGAAGAAGAATATATTGTTACAATCCATGGCCAGACGTGATACTAGATCAAAGGGAAAAAATAACCATTTTAACCAGTCATTTCAGAGTGAGTATGAGCAATACAGATGGTTTCTTCATCCAACACAATATCTCTCTTTACTATGAAGATGGTCGTTAAGTAAGGTGCAAGAGACCTACAACAATGAGTTGGCTGGAAAGAGTTTAGCTCGTAATGACGAGAAATTCATTCACTATCGGGTCCCTCATGAAGCATGAGTTTACTGTTGTACTTGAGGATGCCATATCAAAGAGAAAAAAAGGGAATGCAAGCCCTGATGATAATGACAACCCAAATGAGCATGAAAGGAAGAGAGCGAGACACTTATAACTCAAAGACGTTTAGAATAAAGATAAGCTTTGTTGCCAAGATTCTCATGTAATAAATTCAAAGTACTCTATGAGTACAAGAAGAACTGAGGGTGCTTGATATAATTTCAAGGCATCATGCCTTCTTGTTTTCTTGTCTTTTTTCATGACAATTAAAATAATTTTACAAACACTAGAGATGGTATCCTTAGCTATAAAAGTTGTCATTTGAGCTTCCAACCTATGTAAGGAAGCCTTTCACTGAATATTGATATGTCAACTATGATGATGATTCAACCAGTTCTAATAGTTGATCATCAACCGAAATGTAAAAGAGCCTTACTCACTCGAGTAAACAAAGGCTAAAAGAATGCTTAAGAATCTCTTGATTAAAATTGATTCATACAATCAAGAGTGGAAGATCACTAGATTGAGCCAACAAATGAACAAATGTTAGATATTTACCATGAAGTCATCAGTGTCGGGGCATGATTGATTCCAAGGACAAAGACCAGCAGACAAAGAATGAGACTTCGTTTAAGAAATAAAATAAGAACTAATTCATTTTGCATACATCTTAGACATACTTAAGAGCATCCCATTTATCATTTTCTGCATTCATAATTTTTGCAGCTTTAGAGTCAAGTTTCAACCTCACAACGAAGGATACTCGATTTAAAAGTATCTTCAAAAAAATTGATGGTGGTTACTCAACTCAGCGGCGAGGAGCTACACCTCAACCAACTTGACCTATAGAAAGATCGATGTATCTTAGAATCAACTTCAAATCAGGT